ATTGTGGGAATTCCTAATGTCATCAAGATGGACAATGGTCCCGGATATTCCACTTGCTGCTTTTTGTAAAAATTTTAATATTCTACACAAAACAGGCATTTCTTATAATCCTCAAGGACAAGGCATTGTGGAGAGAGCTCATGGCTCATTAAAATCCCAGTTGCAAAAAATAAAAAAGGGGGAGTTTTATACCCCCGTTCTCCACAAAATACTCTTAACCATGCCTTATTTATTTTCAATTTTTTAACTTTGGATAGACAAGGGCGTTCGGCAGCAGATCGCTTTTGGCACCCCACCACTAGCAATTCTTATGCCAGGGTCCGATGGAAAGATCCCCTGACAGGACAGTGGTATGGCCCCGACCCGGTATTAACATGGGGGCGAGGGCATGGTTGTGTTTCTCCGCAGGGTGCTGATGGAGCACGGTGGCTGCCTGAACGGCTCGTGCGGTTTGCAGATCATGCAGGGACGTTCCTGGGGACGATACAGCGTCAAGTAATGAGCAGTACTGGGCTTACGTTCCTGATGCACTATTTTTACATCCTGCTACCTGGGAAGGTCCAGAAGTCACAGTGTGGGTTAATGATTCACGCCTCTTGACAGCCAGCTACAAGGCATATGCAGTCACAAACTATTTCCAACTGTACCTATTCAGGACAGGGAGTGGGACTTCCTTTGTGTGTACATAAGCGTCAGACTATCAGCCGTGAGGGTTGCATGCGGCTGTATCCGACAACAAGGAGCGGAGTTGGACAAATGGTGCGCATTACCCTCCCTGTGCAAAGCGAGGGGAGTGTCAACTTATCTGTTCCGCAATCTTTTTTCACCTTGTGGACTGGAGACTCGGTGAAACAACAAAACCATCTTGTGGAGATCATGTCTCATGGACAAACCTATCTGATACAACATCACAAACTGCATGTGTACCATCACCTTAGGTACTTTTAGTGGGAGATGTTATTATAAATCATAAAGACTTTATGTTTAATATGTCTTGTGAAAATTTTAATTTGACTAATTGTGTTACTTGGACCTCTCAGGGCACTGTTATTGCCATTCTGCGACAACCTTCATTTATTATGTTGCCAGTGACTATCACTGGGCCATGGTATTCAGAAAGTGGGTTACAGGTTTTAAAGGAAATTGAGTATGCTTTAATGAGACCAAAGCGCTTTATCGGCTTGCTTATAGCAGGTATCTTAGCTGTGTTAAGTTTGGTTGCTACTGCTACTACTGCGGCCAGTGCACTCTCACAGAGCACACAAACTGCCGGTTACGTTAATGGATTAACGGAAAATGTGACCCCTGTGCTGGGAACTCAAGAGGACATAGACAAGAAACTAGACCAAAAGGTCAATGCTCTCTAGGACATGGTCATGTACTTGGGAGACGAGGTACAGGGGCTCAAGGTTAGATCTCGTCTAGAATGGCATGCTGAGTAGTCATGGATCTGTGTCTCACATAAACAGCATAATAGCAGCCAACAGAGTTGGGATAATCATCTCCAAGGTATTTGGCACAATGCTAATGAATCTTTAGATTTATTGCAACTCCATCAGGAAACACAGGCCATGAAGAATGCTAAGCCCCTTGATTGTGATGCCGCTAAAGCCGCAGCAAATTGGCTCCAGCATTTTCGAGATGCTCTCCCTTCGTGGGTGTGGGGGGAAGTCAGATACTTGCTGCTAGACTGCTGTCTCATCCCACAGCAGGGCTGGGCCTGCTCCCTGCTGCTGGAGACAATAGACTACCTCTCTCTGGAGCCTAAGGCCATTAGCTTGGTTCCTGTAGGAGGCGTTTGCACCCTACTGATAATGTTCCTATGGAGACCCAGAGACCACCCCATAGACCACCCTCTCATTGCTGTGTAGCCTATAGTGCAACCCCTCCCTGTGACGTATGTCTCTACCTGTAATTAGTGGGCTGGCATGCTCCCAAAAGGGATATAGGCATGGGTCAGCAATATAGGTCGGACTTCTCTCTCGGACTCTGACCTCCCTGACTCTTCCCCCTCTCCCTTGTTCCCTTTCCCTCCTTCCCTTCCCCCTCTCTCCACGTGGACCACCAAGCTGGGCTGAGGTGAGCAATGTTGCTATGTATCATGCCTGACTGTATTATTGTATTATCTCTCATGTTCTCGATGACTTTAATATAATACTTATATATCTCAACCATACAATTGTGCATTACTGAACCCAGAAGTAGTATTACTGAACTCCGTAGGAATAATCAGCGGGTGGGGGCTGGTTCCTCACCCTCCCTCAGCATCATTTATTTTTTTAATTTAATACTACACGTGGGGAAGTCTCGGAGGTCGGCCTCACATGCTTATGTCCGTGGCCACATCAGGAGTGAGTGTGTATGTGTTATTGATCCTGTGCCTCCTCCCTATGATGTTGCACAAGGTTATGCTTGAAGTTATGACCTTAAGAACTACGTTACATGAAGTGCACCTGCGCACTTCGCCCCCTCCCCGTACAGGGGGGTAAGGCAGAGGCTGGATAGCCAGGGACGGGTAAGATCGAGCCGAGTCTCCCAACCTAAGACAGGTCATGGTCGCCTGGAAGACTATGGCCGATGACGGGTAAGGGTGATTTCGAGACCCGACCACCTAAGACAGGCAGTCATCTGCAGGTGTTTTGAGAAAGGACGTCTTTTGTAAATAAAAAAGGGGGAAATGTTGGAGGCCATCTGCGCCCTAGTCTTGAAATGGTTACGATTTCTCGTAACCTATGTGCTGTTCTCCTCCGTGGTTTGGCATTTGGGCAGGCCATTGAGCAAGTACAAGGAAGTACGCGAGTCCAGGAGCAAGATGTGAAATCTTCTTAAGAATGCTTGGCTTAAACGTTGATGAAGTGTATCAAGTAAGCTTGCTTAACAATGAGATAATTATAACTCCGGGGTTTTTTCTACACGTATAAAAGAGGGATGTGGAATAAACTTGGGGCTTCAGTATTCACTGTTGCCCTCCCAATACTTTCTGTCTCTCTTTTTTCCTTAATCCTCACTCCCCCTTTCAGGACTGTTTGACTCGCCGGCAGGTTCCGGCAATTGTGATAAGAATTGTACGAACTCCCAATAAAATGATTTCAACAAAAGAAATACGTATTCAAATGGAAGTGATCCATGCAAGGATTAATGGACTGCATAAACCAAAGCCTCCATTGCTCAGTGTGGCAGCTATATAATTGTCAATTTGAGGATTAAGAGTGTTGGGGTGGCGTCTAGGCTGTCAATCTGGAGATAGCCAATGAGGCTTCTGTGTGGGCGTGGCCTCCTGGGATTCTGGGAAATCTGGTACTTCCTCCTTGGAGGTGGAAGACACTTCTTTCTCTCTGCCAGTCCCTGGACGCAAGCCACATGGAGGCAACCAGACCTCAGAAGCCAGAGAAGCCACAGAGAGACCCCTGCCTGAGATGCTTACAGCGCCACTGGACCCAAAGCCTTTCTGCCCACTGGCTTGTGATCGTCCCGCATTTGGCTCCATTGCATGGTGGTTCCCGACCACCACTGACTGCTCTGACTGGAACCACAAGAGGTCGTGGGTAGACTGGGAGAAAAATGTAGAATGAAAATGAAAATCACTAAAGAGACCATCCTTCGGACAGTGTAAGACATGACACAACAATCATAATTTATAAATTATCAAGGGTTCGTGAGGGAGGGGGAGCGTGGGGAAAAAGGAGGAGCTGATACCAAGGGCTCAAGTAGAAAGCAAATGTTTTGAGAATGATGGTGGCAACAAATGTACAAATGTGCTTGACACAATGGATGGATGGATGGATGGATGGATGGATGGATGGATGGATTGTGATAAGAGTTGTACGAGCCCCAATAAAATGATTTAAAGAGAGGGAGAGAGAGAGACCAGACTACTGATCTGATAGAGAGTGGTGGAACCCACAAGACTGAAGCCCTTAAATATCTTTAAACCTAGCATGGAATCCGGCCCCAGGGATCGCCTTGCAACCCAACACAGCTGCACTTAATGAGCAAAGGATAACACCGGAAATAAACTATGCAGAATAAACAATCACACAAGACCAAAAATGGAAGCATTTAACCCAAACCCAATAGTTCAGAAGTCAGAACAAGGCAAGGAAAAGGGACAGGTGGAAACGGAAATCCCACGGAGGACCTGGAACGAGTGTTGTTGCCTGGCAACTAATGTTACACAACAAAACGCGCACAGGTTGTGGAATGGAAAACTAATTTGTTCTATAAACCACAAGGCATAACGACGAAAACACATGGAAATAAGTGTTGGTGTTGGGAGCCGGTGGCCATTAAGGCCTTAGCCTCAGCCAGGAGCCGAACTTGGCTGCTTCCTGGTTGTTAAGTTTCGTCTTTCATTTGCTAAACCTGTGGGGGACTGGCCCTGCCTAATTCCTGCCCAACCCTACCTCCACGTTCCTAGCTACGTGCTCTGTAGCACAGGCGGTTGTAAGAGTTAACCTTTTCACCCATTGGTTAATAATGCCGAGCGCTCATTGGACTACGATGGACTTTGCATTACGCCTGATGAACCTTAAGTCTGCATGCAGGACGTCTTTGAGAACTAGCGCGCGCCTTTTTACCTGCAGCTGATTGGTTAACATTCTTATGCTTCATTAATGTACATGTTGGATTGGATGTTGTGTAGCACACCTTATTAAAATATGCACCTCCCAGTTCCCCTTTTTTATACCCCAGCTTTGCCCAAATAAATGAGCTTGATCAGAGTTTTGTCTTGCTCCACGTCCCCGTGTCTTTTCTCCATCCAGGTTCGTCTTTCCCAGCAGGGCCTTGCTCGTGCGTCCCGCAGGTCGGGACGCTACATGTTGGGGTTACTTAAGTAAGCTCTCTGGAATTCTGGTCCAAGTGAATGACGCTCGGTTCGTTCACTGGAGCCTTCCTCTCGATGACCAGGAAGAGCTTGGGGGGATGCACAGGGTCGGAGGGGAAAGGTCATGGGGCTTAGGCTGCAGAGAAAACGTGAAATGAAGGGGAAGGAAACTCACCAGGCTTTTTCTCCTCTTCGTAACCCAGACACAGCCCTGGAAAAGAAGCACGGTGAGAGACGAATGTGCGCGCTGATCTCAAGAGGACGAGCAAGGCGGAGGGGAGAGAGGGAGAGAGCTAGTTTGCTGAAGAAACACCACACTCCTTGAAGATATTCCTACAGGTTTACCATTGACCCTTATCCTGTAGGAGCCCTGATGTCGCACTGGTTACCCAGCGGTTCGAAACCACCATGCCCACCAAGGGGGGAAGATGAGGCTACTTCCGTAAAGATTCACAGTCTCAGAAACTCGTGGGGCAGTTCCACCCTGACCCACAGGGTCCCTATGAGTCAGCATTGACCTGACGGCAGTGAGTTTGACCCTGTTGTTCATCACTAAGATAATGGTGGGTTACACACCAAGCCCCGGTGGTGTACTAGGTTACAAGTTGACTTGCTAACCACAAGGTCAGGGGTTCGAACTCACCAGCCTTTCTGCAGGAAAAAGACGAGGCTTGGTTATAAATTAGGCTGCCCCACGGGAGACTCCCGGAAAGAGTTACAGTCTTGGGAATTCACAAGGGGAGTTTACTCTGTCCTATAGGGTCCCTATGAGTCACATCAACTTGGTGGCAGTGAGGTTGCTCTCTTGTTTGTTTGTTTGTTTGTTTGTTTGGCTTTCCACTCCGGTAGTGATTTTAAAGTCTCAGAACACCCACGAGGGCAGCTGTATTCCGTCCCACCGGGTCACTATGAATCAGAGTCACCTAAACAGCAGGGAGGTATTTTTCTCATTCCTCGTATGGCTTCCATGATTAAACTCCCTTTTACCATCTAGAAATCTCTAGCTATTTACTTGCGTTTTCTGCTCATATTTTCTGTAATTGAAGTTTTCACCTTTACCACTCAAATAGCGGCAAGGTTATTTGACAGCGAAATGTGTGGGGCAGGTTTTCTCTGTCATTCAAACAGAGAACTAGGAGTTGGACTGATAATCGTAAGATGGATGGTTCAAACCCACCAGCTGCACCGTGGGAGACCCATGAGGTGTAGAATTACAGCTTGAATAGTGTAGAATTCAGTGTTCATTTTCACCTCCTAGGCAGTGCCTGGGTGATGCAAATGGTTAGGGTGCTCAACTGCTACCCCAAAGGTTGCAAGTTCTATCCCCTCGGAGGTGTCGCAGAAGGGCCTGATGATCTACTTCTGAAAAAACCAGCCATTGAAAACCCTAGAAGCACAGTCTTGACACACATTGGGTCACCGTGTAGCAGAGATCACTTGGCCGTAACTATTTCTTAAGGAATCTAATATAGGACCTCTGGTGGCATCGGGCATCATGCATCAAGCTGCTAATCGAAAAGCCAGTGGTTCAAACCCACCAGCCACCCCGAGAGGGGAAAGATGAAGCTCTCTCCTCCCCTAAAGAGCCACAGCCGCAGAAACCTACAGTCGCAGTTCGGTTTGCAACCTCTGTCCTGTAGGGCTGTAGAATCGACTCGATGGCAGTGAGTTTGGTTTGGGTTGTGAGAGTGTAGAGGAAGGAAGCCTGATGGCACAGTGGTTAAGTGCTTAGTGGCTAACCAAAAGGTCGCCGGTTCGAATCCACCAGAGCCGCCCCTCACAGGATAGATGAGGCTGGCTATTCCTGTTCAAGGGTTACAGCGTCGGAAATGCACAGGAGCAATTCTGCTCTGTCCCATAGGGTTGCTGTGGGTTGGAATCCTCTCAATGGCCGTGAATGTGCTTTTTGGTTTTGGACTCAATATTGCAAAGAATTCAAGATCCGTGGGAGTGCAGAGAGCAGCCTGGTCCCTTCGCCTTCCTGAGTGGTTGGCATGGTTAATGCACTGTTCTGTTCGTATACAGGGTGGAGGTTCCAGTCCACCAAGAGGGATGGGGAAGTAAGACCTGGTGACCAATCTCATGAGAAAACAGCCCTCAGAGACCCCTGGAGCAGAGTTCCGCCGCCGCTCGTTGGGGCTGACAGCCGGCGCTGCAGTGTGGATGTGTGTGCAGGGGAGGTGCATGCCCCAAAGGGAAGGGTCCTCATGAGAAGAAGGAAGGAACTGGGGCAATGAACTCCCAACATCACCAACGAGGAACCAGGAGGCTGGGCGCACAGACACTCCCGAGCCGAGCCAAGTTCTTGTGTGGCCAAGTCGCGGCGAGACTCCAGCCTTCCTTTTCCCAGTCAGCGATGTGTGGTCAACAGAAATGAAAATAAAAACAAAACCAACACCAAGAAGTTGACTCCAACTGGCCCAAAGCCAAACTCCCTGCCATTGAGTTGATGCCAACACATGGCGACCCTACAGGACAGGGGGGACCTGCCCCCAGGGGTTTCCCAGACTGTAACTCTTTACCCGTTTCTCGCTCAGAGCAGCTGGTGGTTTTAACCTGCTGACCTATGGTTCGCAGCCCAATCTTCATCACAGCGCCTCCAGGAAGGGCCCCCTTCCCCCCCACCCCCCTAACTCACAGAGACCCTACAGGACAGAGTAGAACTGGCTCACAGGCTCCCCCAGGCTATGAATCTGTATAGAAGCAGTCCGCCTCATCTTTCTCCCAGGGAACAAGTGTGGGCTTCTCGCCGTTGACCTTGCGGTTTAGCAACCCAAAGCGGCCACCAGGGCTCATTGCATTCGAGGATGGTTAACATCCCTCTGAGAACGGGGCTGCCCAGGAAATGCCCCTCACTCCCGTGCCCTCGGAGAGCACTCTTCTCTGTTGCCCTCACACCCACCAGACCCGGAGCGTCCTGTCCTGGGGGACTGTACCACTCTGCCCTGCTGGGATTTAAAGGGTCCCATAGCGAGACTGTTTGCAGTTTCCAGCCAACGTTAACCCTCCGCTATTTGTTCACGAACAAATCCACCGACCCAATTTCTTCCGCGCAGCCGGGAGGCAAAAGGACGTCATCACGGCCTGCAGCCGTGAGCGTTGGCCCAGAAGGAGCCAACCTGAAAGGTGCGGACCCCTCCTGTCTTAAAGATTTGTAGACGTGCCAAAGACTGAAATACCCTAGAGAATCGTCCTCTGTTCTCACTGCTCTCTCTCTCTCTCTCTCTCTCTCTCTCTCTCTCTCTCTCTCTCTCTCTCTCTCTCTCTCTCCTTCTCCGCCACAACCTTGCTCTCTGCAGTAAAACGACAGGCAGTGACTGCCGCCAAGGAAGACCCCCTTAACTCCTTCTTCACCGAACTCGACCGCAGCTTGCTAGTGAGTCTGTATTAAAACCTGTTTCCCTCTTTTTCTGTGCAATTGTGGTCCTTGTGGGCTCTAATACCTTACAGGCTGGTCTCCCCCTTCCTTTCACAGGACTCCAACCTCCCTCGCTTACCCCAGTGATTAGGGTAAGTCCTTTTCCCTCTTTCCCTGTGAGCTCTGAAACTCCCATTATCCCCAAATAAAGCCTATCAACTAATACTCGTGTTTGGTCTTTCATACCTCGTCCCTTGTCTCTAGAGCAGCAGTTCTCAACCTTCCTCAGGACGCCACCCTTTAATGCAGTTCCTCAGGTTGGGGTGACCCCCAACCATAAAATTATTCTCGTTGCTACTTCCTCACTGTCACTTTGCTGCTGTTATGAATCGTCATGTAGAGATCTGAGAGGCAGGATGGATTCTCATGGTTACAAATTGAACATCATGAAAGCAGAGTGATGAATCACAAAAACAGTATGTCATTCTATATTGTGCAATATTTGTTTCTAATGACAAATCAATGAAATGTTGTCTTGAAGCATGGTGTAGCATGGGTCACAGTCTTCACGCAGGGTACTCGCATGTGGGCGTATCTGCATGTGGGCGGACCCTCCTGGAGACGATAGAGGTGGGTGTCTCCGTTCCTAAGATTATGGGAAATATGTGTTTTCCGATGGTCTTAGGCGACCCCTGTGAAAGGGTCGTTTGCCTCCCAAAGGGGCTGCGACCCACAGGTTGAGAACCGCTGCCCTAAAACTTTCCTGTATTCCTGCCCCTGGAGAAGGGCATCCAGGACAGTAAAGCAGAGGATCAGGAGATGGACTGACTAGGTGGCTGCCAACATAACGATTGGGAGGATGGCCCAGGACCAGGGGTTGCTTCCTTCTGTGGTAAGCAGGGTCTCTAGGCCGTGAAGCTTGAAATCACCTGACGACGACCTGTCAGCGGGCGACCTGTGATGAGCCCGTGGGGTTTCCAGGCTCCGGACTTGGAAAATCCCATCCCGGGCATACATCTCCCAGCTTCCTAAACAGAAGGGTGTCCCCACAGATCTCCCAGTCTCTGGTGTCTTGTGTACACATCGTGGGAGGTGCCTAGTGGCTGGCGCTGTCCGGTAAGCCCTGGACTGCTGAACTCCAGGTCGGTGGTTCAAACCCACCAGCTGGTGCAAGGGCAAAAAACGAGGCTATCAGCTCCCGTAAAGATTTAAAGCAGTGGTTCTCAACCTTCCTCATGCCCTGACCCTTTCATACAGGTCCTCATCTGGTGGTGACCCCCAACCATAACATTATTTTCGGGGCTACTTCATCACTGTCATTGTGATGAATCGGGCGATCCCTGTAAAAGGGTCGTTTGACCCCCAAAGGGGTCCCGACCCACAGGTTGAGAACCGCTGATTCACAGCCTGAGAGACCCTGTACAGGGAGGGTCTTGATGGTCAGACTTGACTTGGAGGCCTTGCGTTGGTGGCTGGGAGGCCTGGTGGCGCGGTGGGTTAAGCACGGGGCTGCTGATTGCCGGCTCAGCACTTCCGACCCACCCAGCAGCTCCTCCGGAGAAGGATGAGGCTCTCTGTCTGTGTCAAGCCTGACAGCCTTGGAAACCCTCTGGGGGCAGTTCTGCCCTGTCTTCTGGGGTCACTTGCCCATCAGAATGGACTTGACAGGAGGGGTCTTTAATTTCGGTTCTCCCACATGGGGCTGTTGTTGATTGGTGTCATGGAGCTGGTTCCAACCCATCGCGATCCCACGCACGACAGAAGGAAACACTGCCTGGTCCTGCACCATCCTGACAACTGTCCCCAGGCCTGAGCCCATCGGGGCAGCCGCTGTGTCCACCCATCTCTCTTGAGGGCCGCCCTCTCTTTCTCTGCCCCTCCACTTGACTAAGCACGAGTCCTTCTCCAGGGCCGGCCCCTCCTGAGAACCTGTCCAAAGGAGGTGAGAGGACGTCGCCCCGTCCTCGTCCTCCAAGGAGCCCTGTGATAAGGAAGCTCTATTGAGGCCGGGTCCGAAATAGGGATAGTAGATGACGGGGTGTGTCCAAGCTTGTGCAACTGTCAACCTGACCTTGCAAAATATTCTGCTTTTGTACACTGTCACTTTTAGAAAAACCGCATGCTGCTACCTGCGGCTTTTTTGGAGGGGGAAATTGCAAACTAAAGATAATGCAGAGTTCGCCTTAAAAAAAAAAAAAAGATGCCTGTGTGTGTTATGGCTATAAAAGCTTGTCCCAGGTGGAAGCTCCGGGTCCACACTCCGTACTGGACAGAGTCTGGTGTGTGGTCCCTCAGCGCTGAGTCTGGGTTTGAACCCATCAACCTAAGCTGTACTCCGTCTCTGCCCATTCTGCTATTCCACAACCTACCTGTAATACCCTCTGGCCCTACTGACCTTCCCACATGGAACTCGAGAATTCTACCACTCCTCCAGCTCTTGGCTTACACACACGCGCCGTGCACACACACACACACACACACACACACACACACACACACACACGCCCCCTGGAAGCCATCTTCTCTGTTCTCCCCCTGCTGTACGCTCAGCTCCCAGCCCAGCCCGCATTTGCTCATCCCCGCAGTCCCGTTCGCCCTGGTCCTGGGAGACTCACCCAGGCAAAGCAGGAGAAGGCATTCCGTGTGCATTGTAACTCTTCCGAGCCCAGATCCGGCGCCAGGCCCAGGCGGTGCAGATCTCTGGAGACAGCAGGGCTGCCCGGTTGGTGGCTCTCTTCCCACCCACTCTGAATCCAGGATGTGTGGGTGGCCAATGAACCCTGACCCTCCCTCCGGGCCTCCTGAGCCCTGGTTCCCGGCTTCGGCCTCACAGCCAGTTTAGCAAAACAACATCTTCCTCTTTCCACACTGGGCTCCACGCCTGGGACTCCACCCAGCCCACTTCCACCCTGCTCCCCTGCCCAGCGGCTCTCGGCTTCTTTCTGTTTGTTTGCTTTTTTTAACTTTGAGATTTACAGAGCAGACTGCACTTTCACATTCAACAGCCCTTGACTGCAGTCCCCACGATCTGACGTCACTCCTCCCCCTCTCTTCCTACCCTTTCTGAACTCCCAAAGCAGGGGTTCTCAACCTCCCGAATGCCGCAACCCTTTCATACAGCTCCTCATGTGGCGGTGACCCCCCAACCATCACATCATTTTCGTTGTTACTTCATCACTGACATTTTGCTACTGTGATGAATCAGGTGACCCCTGTGACAGGGTCATTCGACCCCCAAAGGGGTCGTGACCCACAGGTTGAGAACCGCTGCCCTAAAAGCTAGTTCCTTCTTCTAAGGTGTGTTCACACACACACACACACCCCCCCCCGGGGGTTACTGTTCCCTTCTGAGACGATAACCAGTCCATCCTGCAATCCCTCTACTGGGTGTCTATCCTGAAGAAATCAAGAACACAACCCAGACAGACCTATGCACACCCATGTTCACGGCAACCATTTACACAATAGTAAAAATAAGGGAGGAACCACAGGCGGTGCTTACACAGGAGCAGAATAACAAGCCCCCGTGCCTTCATGCACTGGGGTAGCAGTCTGCACCCAACAGAAACAATGATGAATGAGGAGCTGATAGCATCGATGACGGTATAATCCATTTAAGAGGATGGTGGGATCGAACAACAGAATTGTATCTGAATGGATACACTGGATTGTGTAAGATATGGCACAAACAAACAAAAAGCTATTATAGGAAGAAAAAACGTGTTTGGGGGAGGGGATAAAAAAGGGGAGCTGATATCAAGGGGTTCAAGAAGAAAGAAACTGTTTTGAAACTGATTGTGGAAGCAATTGTGCAATACTGCATGATGTGATCGAACTGTGGAATGGTACGGTCTCTGTAAGAGCCCCCAGTAAAACGATATAAAAACAACCACAACAACAAGAAATAGAAACAAGGACGACCCTCTTAAACACGGCAGGACGTGGGCAAAGGTAGAATACAGGAATAATGTCGGACTTATGGACTTGATCTGGAATGAGTTGGGATGCTTTCTTAATATACAATTACTCTTTGCTGTACACATATAAGTGTCTATGAATTTGTTTCTCTAGACTTCTCAGATTGACACACCATTGTTGTAGACGCTGTGTCAATCCAACTCTTGAGGGTCTTCCCCTTTGCCCTTGAACTTCTACCTTATCAAGCATGCCGCCAATATTCAGGGACTGGTCCCTCCTGACAACCTGTCCACAGTGCATGAGACAGGTTCCATCATTGTCAGGAGAGAGCCTGCCCCTAACAAATCATCACAGGTCCAGTAGGCACAATTGTATTGCAATAACAAATAAAAATTATAGTAAAATCATGGAGAACATGAGAGATAGAAGAGAGATTGAAATAATGAAGTCAGACGCATTTCATGGTAGCATGCTCACCTCAGCCCCACTTGGTGGTCCACGTGGAGATGGAAGATGGGTGGGCAGGAGAGAGCCAGAGAGAGATTTATTGCTAACCAAGGCTTATATCTCTTTAGGGGGCATGACTACAGGTAACCACACATGTCACAGGAAGGGGCTGTACAATAGGCAATACAAGCAATAGGAGGGGATATACCATGGACATACGTAGCACAGGAAGGGGATGAGCTAGGGGTGTGCACATCATAGGAAGGTGTGGAACTCGAGGTGTTTATGTGACAAGATGGGAGGACCCTAGATTCATGATGGCAGCCTAACGTTCACCCTTGAATGGGCTTGACCTCTCTGGGCTTTCCTTCAGGGAAACAATATACTACTATCGTTGTGTTAGTCTGGGTGGACTAGAGAAACAAGTTCATTGACACTCATGTGTATAAGAAAGAGCTTTATATAAAAACTAACTGTATATTAGGAAAACAGCCCAGTCCAGTTCAAGTCCGTAAGTCTGGTATTAGCCTATTGTCCAAAACCAGTCTATAAATTCCTCTTCAGACTCACAAAACACATGCAGTGATGCCAAATGCAGGAAGATCACAGACCAGTGGGTGGAAAGTCTTGTGGACCCAATGGCGGTGGAAGCATCTCAGTGCTGGCATGGGTCTCCACGTGGCTCCTCCAGCTCCAGGGCTCTAGCATATCTCTATGTGGCTTCTCGACAGGAAGGTCTTGCAGGGAGTGAGTGAGTGTCCTGCCTCCAAGAGCTGTTTATCCCCCTAACGCTTCCAAATGAGGTAATCAAGCTGCGACCTGATTGACAGGCTAAAACTCCACTCCTTCACTCTTAATAGTCTCTAGTTGACACCAGATAATGTTACTACCATAGATGTACATACGTCTGTCTGTGTTCTTCTTGAGTTCTATAGGGTCTATATGTGGCCTAGCTTCTGGCGCACTGCAGGTACAACCTCTTTCTTTCTTTGAACCTTTTATTGTGAGTTGAGAAAATTAGGTTCCCATTCAACAACATACACAATTTTTGTTTTGCAACATGGGTCGCAAGACCCTCAAAATGAAAACCCTCTGCTCTCTCCCCTCCCTCCTTGGGCTCCCCGTTTCCACCCACCACCACCACCACCACCCCATCGCCAACCCTTCCTGTCTTCAGAACTTGGTTGGTTGTTCTGTTTTGCTGAGGGGACAAATACTGCCCTTTGGAGCTCATAAGGTTGAGTGTTTGCAGACACACATTCCTTGTGTTCACTGTATAAGCTTGTCTGTCGTCGGGCTGAAAGGCGATACCCAGGGATGGGTTCCAGTCCAGGTTAAAAGGGTGTCTAAAGGCCATCGTACTGGGAGTCCCATCAGCCCAGGGGAAATCCCTCTGACTCAGTTTTCTTTTTTCTCTTTCTCACACAGAGCCGAGGCGAAGGCCACATAAAAGAAATCATTTCACTACACCGTCTCGCCACAGTTAAGGCTTCTTGGGTCCGTGAGGTGCATGAGAGATAAATGAATTGGGCACGCAGTCTTAAGTGAGTGTATCAGTGGTAAAATTCAAATAATTTAACAACTGGTACACTGCTCTAATGATGTATTTTTAAAAAATCATTTTATTGGGGCATCATACATCTCTTATCACAATCCATCCATCCTTCCATTGTGTCCAGCACATTTGTACATAGGTTGACATCATCCTTTTCAAAACATTTTCTTTCTACTTGAGCCCTTAGTATCAGCTCCTCCTTTTTTCCTCCCTCCCCCACCCTCCCTTCTCATGAACCCTCGAGAATTTATAAATTATTATTACTTTCATATCATACACCGACCATTGTCTCCCTTAACCTATGTTTCTGTTGTTCATCATTCTGTAGTGTGTGTGTATGTGTGTGTGTGCGGGGGGCTATACATCCTTTGTTGTGATCAGTTTCCCTTTTCTCCCACCACCTTCCCGCTACCCTCATGGTACTTGAAGACTGTAATCTCTGGGGTTCCTCTTGTGGGAGACGGCTCTGTCTTCTCATTTCCTGAAAGTAGATGTCACACACACACAAAGGGTCACATGACAGGAATGAAATAAATAGCTGGAGCCAAGTTGTCACGGCCCACATCGGGCTGTGTCCTGAAAGGGAGTCCTGAGATGTAACGACACGTCCAGTATGATCTCTGAACTCATTTTGCTCCTCAGCTTTGGTAAGTCCCTGGAGGTTGATGGATTGGAATTACAGAGGAGGGGGAGTTGAGGGAGCAAGGTAGTTTCTTTTTCTTGAGTGCCTGTGCTGACAGCCAATCAGAGGTTCTTCAGTTCCCAAATAGGTGCCCATTTGGACCCCATACCTGACCGTGCTCCATGCCAACGCCGCCTCTGCTTTCATCGTTTACCTTCCCAAAACATCTGTTGAGAAAGAGGTGAAGAATTACAGAGCAGATCATCCGTGTTACTCTCAACAGTTCACACGCGTTTCAGGTCATCTCAGTCAGCGTCGCCATGCGTACCCCACGTATTCCACTTCCTCCCTGCGTTTCCTGTCTCCATCCTTCCCGCTGTCCTAACCCTCGGAACGCTGTCCTGGGGGAAATCCTTCTGTCATAAGCTGTGGGTTATTCTGGCACAAGAGTGCGTTTGATTCTACCTCTGAAGGGTGACAAAGGGCCATCGTTTGAGGGACCCTACCTGTCTCTATCCAACCAGTAAGCCTGGTTTCTTAGGACGTTGAGTTTTGCTCCATGTTCTTTTCTCTACATCAATGATCATAGGTCGGTAGTTTTTGTTTAAGTTCAAAGTATTTATTTGATGATGCAATATATACAGCCACACTGTGAGTCATAAGCCAGCATCACTTATCACTATGAGAAAGTTCATTTAAATATACGCATACGCTCAAATGTGTACACACCTGAGTGAGTAAAAGTATTGCTGCTAAGGGCCTAGTTGATCCATCCATGGGTTTAATCCAAATAAAACCTGTTGAGACCTGACTCTGGGATCCACAAATGGCTTCAGACAAGTTCCCTCAGTCATATGCTTGCTGCACTCTCATTGACACAAACAACCAAACTCACTGTCATCGAGTCGATTCCAACCCATAGTGACTTTATTGGACAGGATAGAACTGTGGGTCTCCAAGACCAAAACCCTTTACAGGAGTAGATAGCCTTGACTCCCTCCCTTGGAGCTGCTGGTGGTTTTGAAGTGCCAACCTGTGGTTAACAGCCTTAACCACTATGCTCCCAGCACTTCTATAGTCTCAATAAGGTGCCTCCAGAAAGACTGGCTCTGAAACCTTTCAAAACCAAAGACTAAGTTCATCGCAGCAGCTAACCCTTGCAAAAGACATCACTTGTTCCATCTCTCTGTGCATGCCTTGTAATAACAGAAGGAAGTGGTTGATGATGGTGCTCATGGAGTGGGGCCAATGTGGTGGCCCCTTCCTTTCACAAGCTTGTGACATCTCCCTGTGTCAGGCTTGGCGAGCTATCTCTGTGAGTTATCTACTCTGGTGGTCCGCATGCATTTGCTGAGCTCTTGCCAGGGCTTGGGTAGACCCTGGGAATGCTGAAGTGAATAGTGCAGACTCCCCACCTTCCAGACGCCAGCATATAGATGTCAGACATAGGACACTGCTTACAACCAATGGTAAATGATTGTCAAGTTATCTCCCTGAAGACACCAGCCATCCAGAGCAAGGGGATGGGATGTGGTGTGGATGTACAAGAAAGTGGTGTGTACTGTGGTACAGTGTAGTGTACTATGGTGTGGTGTAGTGTGTGTGGTGTGGTGTGGTGTGGTGTACTGGAGTATGGTGTAGGCATACAGCTTGTGCCTTCCGTGGTGCTGCTGTACTAAGTGCCACCAAGTCCTTTTTAGCTGAAAACAGCCCCATGGACAGCAGAGCAGACCACTGACCGGTCCAATGCCCTTCTCACAATCTTTCTTCGGGTGGGGCCCATTGTTGCAGCCACTGTGTCAGTCCATCTCATGGAAGGCTTCTCTTTCTCTATGACGTTCTACTTGACCAAGCAGGATGTCCCTCTCTGAGGACTGGTGCCTCCTGGTAATATGTCCAAAATACACTAGACAAAGTCTTGCCATCCTCACTTGTTTCAGATGTCACCAGTAAATCTACTGGTCCAACCCAATCACTAGGCTTCCTTCATTATCCACAAGGCTAGTATTTCCTCTCCTGGAATAGGGATGGGGGATCCAGGAAATAAACAGGGGCAAAAACAAAAATGGGAAGACTTGTGGGGGGGAATGCATCTTAGAGATGAGAATTGTGGAGCCAAGGAAGATCTTGGAGATACTGAGAGGAGACATCCATACAGGAGTATGTGGGGGAAGCTAGCCCCTCACACTATCACGGGTTCAGTAAGCACAATAGTATGGTTAAAATATATATAAAGATTATAATAAAGTCATATAAAGATTATAGTAAAGTCATAGAGAAATAGGAAAGAGAGAGTAAAATAAAGGAATCAGACACATTTCATAGTAGCATGCTCACCTCAGCTTCTCTTGGTGGTCCACTTGGAGATGAGAGACAAGAGGGCAGGAGAGAGCGATTTATTGCTAACCAAGGCTTATATATCTTTGGGGGCATGCATGCCCTCTAATTATAGGTAAAGACATATGTCACAGGAAGAGGCTGTACAATAGGCATAAGTGTGACAGGAAGGAGATGAGCTAGGGGTGTGCACATAAGAGGAAGGGGAGGGATTGGGGCCACACATGTGACAGATGGACAGATCCTAGATTCACTATGGCAGCCTAACCTTGATTGTCCTTGAGCTGGTGACTTGATTTAGTCTAAGCTTTCAGGGGAAGCAATGCGCTGTCCCTCACAGCAGGGTGTGAGCCCCACCTATTGTGGGAGAAACAATGGTGTCCCCTTGCTCTGGATGACTGGTGTCTTCAGGGAGATAACTTGACAATCATTTACCATTGGTTATAAGCAGTGTCCTATGTCTGACATCTATATTTCGGGGAGAGAAGCTGGGAAAAGTCTTTTTATATCCCATAGGAGGGTAGAGGGGAAACTCCATGAGAAATGGGCAGGCAGAGAGAGGAGCTGAAGCCAGAGTCCAACATGGGAGAGATGAGAACTCCTACGTGTACAACATTCAGGGCAAACGAATTCAGGAAGAGCCTCTAGGGGGTACCTCAGGGACCAGGACAGGGGGTGCTGTGGGCTGGGGACCGGGAGCATATGACTCATGGAAGATTCTTTTACAGGACTGGGGCTTGGCCATGGAGGCAGGACTACAAGTGGTGAGTGTTTCATCCATTAAACCCACCTGGATCCTTCACCCCATTTCCTCACTCCTCCTTCCCCTCCCTCAGTGGGCCTCCCTGAGAGCAAGGTGAGTGTCCGACACAGCCCTGCTCTCTGCTTTCCTTGCAGACTCACTTCCCAAGCCCAGCCTCCGCATCTGCCCAAGCTGGTTTGTCCTTCCCGGAAGCAATGTGACCCTGAGGTGCCAGGCTCCGATCAGGGATGTACACTTTGTTTTCAGAAAGTCAAAACAGTTTCTGATTTCCCCACGGTCACCTGATGCCACAGAGAGCCAGGCTGAATTCCCCCTCGTGGATGTACAACAAAGTGATTCCGGGGAGTACACTTGTGAGTACTCCAGAAGGAGCTCCCATGGACCCTCACCACTAAGTGATGTGGTTCTCCTTCTGGTTACAGGTGAGGAGGGGCTCTGGAATGACTTCGGGGCTTCCTTGGGGCAGGGTTTGCTAAGGGAGGAATCAGGGGAAGAGAGGGAGACCAGGGGTTGCATCTCCAGTGTAGTGTAGTGTAGTGTAATGCGGTGTGATGGAATGTGGTGTGGTGTGGTGTAGTATGGTGTGGTGTAGTTAGTGTGGTGTAGTATGGTGTACTGTGGTGTGGTGTGGTATAGTGTAGTGTGTGTGATTTGGTGTGGTGTAGTGTCATGTAGTGTGGTGTGGTGTAGTATGGTGTAGTGTACTCTGGTGTGGTGTGCAGTGTGGTGTGGTGTAGTGTAGTGTGGTGTGGTGTGTACTGTGGTACAGTGTAGTGTACTATGGTGTGGTGCAGTGTGTGTGGTGTGGTGTGGTGTACTGGAGTATGGTGTAGTGTAATGCAGTGCTTGTGCTGTGGTGTGGTGTAGTGTAGTGCAGTGTGGTGTAGTATAGTATGGTGTGGTGTAGTTTAGTGTGGTGTTGTGCAGTGTGGTGTGGTGTGCTGTTCTATGGTGTGGTGTAGTGTAATGTGGTGTGTACTGTGGTACAGTGTAATGTACTATGGTGTGGTGTAGTGTAATGTGGTGTGTACTGTGGTACAGTGTAATGTACTATGGTGTAGTGTAGTGTGTGTGGTATGGTGTAGTGTGTGTGGTGTTGTGTAGTGTGGTCTACTGTACTATGGTGTAGTGTGCTGTGGAGTAGTGCTCTGTGTGTGCTGTGGTGTGGTGTAGTGCAGTGCAGTGCAGTGTGATGCAGTGTAGTGCAGTGTGTGCGCTGTATTATGGTGTAGTGCAGTGCAGTGCGGTGCAATGCAGTGTGGTGCAGTGTGGTGCAGTGTGTGTGCTGTACTATGGTGTAGTGCAGTGCAGTGCAGTGCAGTGTGAGTGATGGTGACGAGAGACAGGCACAGAATTGGGACCTTGGTTTCCCCCAGGGCTCGTGGAGGGAACGTCCTTCCCCAGCGTCAGGAGGAAGCATCGGGGGTATTTTCTGTCTGACCCTCCATGAGGACTCCCTGTCAGAGGAGCAAGGGTGAGGGGCGCGCAGAGACTTCTCACGTGACCCCTGAGCCTTCCTTCTCCGCAGGAAGCTTTCCTAAGCCTTCCCTGGACGTCCACGTGAGACGTAATGTGACTGCAGGAGAAACGGTGACTCTGGATTGCAGGAAGTCTGGCAACAAGGACAGATCTCTACAATTCGCTCTGCTGAAGGAAGGCACCTCAGAGCCCATTAAGGTGCAGAGGCAAGAAAGGAGAAGAACACAGTTCCTCCTTCAGAATGTGTCCGTCAACGACTCTGGGAAGTACAGCTGTGTCTACTTCCAGCCTGAACCCCCTTTCTGGGCCTCCCACATCAGCGATCGCCTTGAGATCTGGGTGACAGGTGAGGTGTGGGCCTTTGGGAGACCGACAGTTGGGTCACCTGCCGGTCCTCCTTCCTGAGGGAGCGTCCTGCAGGGAGCTTATGTCCTTGCCAGACTTTAAAGCCTGGAAAAATCACTCGGGGAGGAAGGAGTTGGGGCCAGGGTGCTGGAATAATGGAGAGGCCCTGTGATGAGAGAGGGGAGTGGGCAGGACAGAATCATAGAATAACTGATTCTCAAACTGTGGACAGTGTGTGGATGCATTTGGCTTCAATACCTAACACCAGGGATTGGATTTCCACCTAGAATCTTCCTTTGCAAACACTGGATCGTGTTCTAAGTGGGTCAGCTCCATTCTAGCTCACTGGCTCCTCTATTGAGGGGGGAGGGGGGGTGACTTTCAAGAGCTGAGTCTCCTATCTCACACACACCATTGTGGAGAAGGACAGTCTGGTCTTCAAACCGAGTTGCACAAGATCCCGAGGAAGAACTGTCATGGGCGTGTTGAATTCTCGTGTCACAGTCTGAATCCATCACTGACAACCCTGCTTGTATTGTTGTTGCTGTTTGGTACCACCAGGTCAGTTCTAACTCATAGCACCCCAGTGCACAGCAGAAGGAAACACTGCTGGTCCTGTACCCTCTCACACTCATTATGGTGAAGGTCATTGTTGCAGCCACTGCGGCGACCTCTCTCTTTCAAGGTCTCCCTCTTTTATTTGCTCCCTTTCCAAGGAGCTTTGGTGGTACAGTGGGCTGCGATCCTCATGGAATAATGGAGAGTACCTTTGATGAGAGAGGGGAGTGGGCAAGGCAGAATCGTAGAATAATTGATTCGCAAACTGTGGATACATTTGATGGATGCATTTGGCTTCAACACCTAAAACGAGGGTTGGATTTCTACCTAGAACCTTCATTTGCCAACACTGGTTTGTGTTCTCCCTGGGTCAGATTGTTCTACCTCCCTCTCTACTGGCTCCTTTTGTTGGGCGGAGAACATGGCTTTCAGGGTGTCACATGGTTTCACATCTCACAAACCCACTCGAGGAGACGGACTGAAGTTCTTTTTCCAAACCAGTTCCCAAAGAGTCCTAGGATCCCAGGTTTCGGCACCCACCTACAAAGAGTTCTAGGAAAAGACTGTAAGCAGTGAGTGGTTGGATTCAGCCTGTGGAAGTTACATAATCTCCTGTCAACTTGTGAAGGGGTGGAGTCGAGCCTGTCAATCAGTTTGCAGCTTGATTACCTCATTCAGAGGCATGAAGGGGATAAAGAGCTCACTGGAAGCCAGATACTCTCTCTACTTTGTCTCCCTGGGAGACATTTCTGTTGACAAGCCACATGGAGCTACACTGATGGCAGCCAGAGTTATGGAGCTGAAGGAGCCATGTGGAGACCCGTGCCAGTGCTAAGATGCTTCCACTGCCACTGGATCCACAAGATTTCCCAACCAATAGCCTGTGACCTTCCTGCATTCGGCATTATTGCATGTGTTTCATGAGTCTGAAGAGGAATTTACGGACTGGTAACAGACATATGGGCTAATATTGGACTTATGGACTTGATCTGGACTGGGCTGGGGTGTCTTCTTCATATACAATGCCTCTTTATATAAAACTCTCTCTCACACACACAGGAGTCCCTGGATTTGTTTCTCTTGACAACCCAGACTAACACAGGCCCATTCACACTGGATTGGCAGAACCAATACGTAATTTAAAAAAATATGTGGAAACTAAATAACGTATTACTAAAAAGCAAGCTATTCGGTCATAGAATAAAGTAAAAAGCGAAAACATAAAAGGACTTGGAATCCAATGAGAACAAATGAGATTTTTTTGTTTCTTCTTTCCCTTTTCATTCTCCTCCCATTTTCAGTTGTACCATTTCTACCTACCTACAAATTTACACCTGTACAGTAGTAGCCTTCCCCTTCATCATGACAATTTGTTTGAAAATTATATGTACACACACATATATATTTAATTGGGAGATGAAACATCTATCATATCAGTCCATAGTTCAAGCACATCAAGCAGTATTGTAGATTGCCACCACAATCCGTTTCTAAACATTCGTTTCTTTCCTGGACTGTGGGCAGCAGAAAACGGGAAGAGAGTGAGTCCTTTGGTCTCATGTATGAAGAAGGCTGGCAGGCTGGGTTTCTGGGGTGGAGAGGCCCTCACCCTCATGAGTTGGAGATGAGTCCCAATCTCACAATTAATATTGTTCCCCATTATAGCCTCCCATAATAATACTACCTTAAGGTTACCTCTTACAAGCACATAGCTGATTGCCATGTAGCCGCTGCTTTAACTATAGGAGCAGACCTGTGCTATTGCTCTCTAGTCTCTGAACACAGCCACTCCCCCTTACCTGCCCCAGCACTGGTGTTAGGTTACTTCTCCAATGAACTCAGGGCCCTTTGGGGTTAGGGTACAGCCCACTTTGTCACCTATGTGATTACCTGTAATTAGGAGAGCTTGCACTCCCCCTAGAGTGTATATAAGCCTTGGTTGGAAACATATTTTCTCTCTCTGTGCAAGCCTGGCTCCTGAAGTCATGGTGTCCCAGAGGTGAGCCCTTGCATGTCTTGTCTTTTCTGATCTCCCTTTAGTCTTACCCCTCAATTATACAACTGTCGCTTGGACCCATTCTATTGTGGAGGTTGGTACCCCACACGGGACTCCTTGACATCTCCCTTTTACTGCCCCACCACCAGCACTCTACCTACCCCCTACCCCCAGAAACCCTTATTTTCCTTGCTGTCCATATAGGTTCATCAATGTTGGGTTCAGACATAGACATAGTTTTTAAGTTAACGGGGAATTTTAAGGAACCGTCCTCTAGGCTGCCAACCATAAGGTTAGGAGGGCAAACTCACCAGTGGCTCCACGAGGGGAAGATGAGGCTGTCTGCTCCCTGAAATATCTACGAACCATGTGGGACAGCTCGACTCTGTCCTCTCGGGCTGCTGTGAGGCAGACTGGACTCCATGGCAGCAGTTTATCATCCTAGAGGCAAAGGGAAATAGCGCAACACACGTCCGGGTGTTCTCGATCGACTCTCCCATATCTTTTCAAATCTCCCGCATGTGAAGGATGAAGAGTTGGGCTGGTCTTCCCTGCTGAGAACCTGTGTTTGGAGGCTGCGAGGAAAAGTTTTGCTCCTCTTCCGCTGCGTTAGTGTGGGTAGACTAGAGAAACAAAACAGAGACTCCCATAGGTGTAGAAAGAGGAGCTTTATGTCAAAGAGCAATTGTATATTGAGAAGACATCCTCGCCCAGCCCAGATCACGTCCATAAGTCCGATATTAGCCCATATGTCTGCTACAAATCCATAAACTTGTCTTCGGACTCACACAGCATGTCCAATGAGGTCAAACGCAGGAAGAGCACAGGCCGGTAGGTGACAAGACTGTGGATCCAATGCTGGTGGAAGCATCTCAGCGTGAGTCTTCACGTGGCTCCTCAACAGGATGGTGAAGTAGAGAGAATGTCCCCTCTCCAGGGAGAAAGACAGAAAGTTCCCAGAATCCTCGTGAGAAGGCCACGCCCACTGGGAGGCATCATCACGCTGTGACCTGATTGACAGGCTAGACTCCGCCCCTAGACCTTTTTATCAAGTTGACATGACATTTTGTAACTTCCACATCCTCACGCCACTAACCTCAAAGTGTGACCTGTTTAATCCATACTGGTCACTAACCAGGAAATACAAGTGAACCGACGGCCGTATGAGATTCAGAGTTGGCGGATTGTTTAGCAAAGGGACAAGGGGCTTTCGATGTTCCTTGTCTAGCACCTCTGAGTGGATTCTGACTCATAGCATCCTATGTGCAAGCAGAGTTGAACACTGCCCAGCGCTGCACCATCCTTACTGTCTTTGTTTTGTTTGAACCCATTGGTGCAGCCACTATGTCCGTCCATCTGGTTGAGGGCCTTCCTCCTTTCTGCTGACCCGCTACTTTACCGAGCATGATGTCCTTCTCCAGAGACTGGTCTCTCCTGACAACATGTCCAATGTGCCTTCATTTCATGTATTTTGGACAAAGGGATGTGCTCAAGAAGAAGAACCCACACCCATTGCTCTGTGCCGCAGAGTAGAGCTGTACTCGGTCAGGTTGTCAATGTGACCTTTGGGGAGCACTCCGGGGTACTTCTGCGATAAGCTGCTTATGTCACTCAGGGCCGATCTTTTCCCCATTTTAGCTTCTCAGGATACCGCTTTCGTAAAAGATTATAACAGGTGGAACCTCACCCGCCTGGGTCTGACGGCTGTAATTCTGATGACCATGGGTGCTTTCCTGCTGGAAGCCTGGCTTAGCCAGAAGAAGTCTTCATGTGGATCCAGGTAAAACAGCTGACCCCATCTCTTTTTCATGGAAGGTCTGTCGGCACAGTGGGTTACCCACAGTGGGTAACCTGTGAACAACAAGGTCAGTGGTTCAAACCCATCGGGCACTCTCTGGGAGAAAGATGAGGCTGTCTACTCCTGGAAAGAGTTAAATTCTCATGAACCTAAAGGAGCAACTCTGCTCTGTCCTATAGCGTCGCAAGGAGTCAAAATCAACTCGATGACAATGCGTTTGGTTTCATTTGTTTGGAGTGATAGGTTGTTGTTGTTGTTGCTGCTGTTGAGTGTGGTTAAGTCTGTTCCTACCCATAGCAGTCCTCTCTGACAGAGTAGAACCTCCCCCGTAGGGTTCCATAGGCTAAAATCTTTATGGGAGTAAATCATTAAGTCTTTTCTCGGATGCATCAGCTGGTGGTTCAAACTACTGACGTTTGGTTAGCAGCCAAGCACTCATTAACACACCACCACGTGTGTGTGTGTGGGGGGGGGGACAAAACAAAACAAACCCAATGCCATTGAGCCGACTGATTCACAGCAGCCCTAGAGGATGGAGTAGAACTGCCCTGCGGGTTTCCAAGATGGCAAATTTCACCAGGGCTCATTAAATGCCAATTGCTGCTTGATGAGAATCCCCATTGTTTTCAACAAGGACGCTATTGGAATTTTAGGCAGGCGGTTTCTTTATCACGTGGGAACATACGTTCATTGTAAGAACATTTGGTATGTATTTTCCCTTCTCCGTACACACCAGTCAAAGCCCCAATCACTGTTAAAACAAGACTACGCACCCATAGCTCCTAAAATATTCCCAGCTGTTGAGGAGGGGGCATGGAGGTGGTCTCCCTGGCTGAGAACTTGTGTTTGGAAGTCAGGAGACATATTATCTCTCCTCATCCTCCCTCCATTGACATCTGATGTGTCCTCTACTTACAGGTCCCACAGCTTTTGTGGAGAATGAGAGTATTGGATGGAGTTAGGCCTGCTGCTCTGTAACCATTTCCTGTAGTCTTGGTTCTCCGTACTATTGCAAAGCATTCCAGGGCACAATGATGGCTTTCCAGACATCCCTGAGGATAAAGATCCAACCAAGCAAGGATGGTCGCACAACTCGAAGAATCTAATCCATGTCACTGAGTTGTGCGTGTAGAAATTGTTGAGTTGGCATGTGTTTTTGTTATGTCTACTTGCACCACAACAGGAAGAACCATTTTTAATTTAATTAAATCTTAGAAGGTGCCTCTAAGGAAATATTATTCGATACAACATTGAACAGCCTCTCATTTCCCTGCTCATCAGTCATCTGCCATCGGTCAGCTCTCACATAAGCCCAAGCCCATATGTGTGCCCATGTGTTCCCGGGGATCATTGTTCCATTTATTTCCCAGTGTGGTTGTGTTTCTCTTTTTCCCTGTCAGGGGAAACCCGCGTCCAACGATCGAAGGTCCAGAAGGCGCAACGTACAGCGAGGATATATAAGGATGATAGTGAGGTCCCAGAGGATGGGAAAGATAGGAGAGAGAGTGCAATAAAGGAGTCGGACCCATTGGATGGCAGCACGCTCTCCTCAGCCCCTCTTGACGGACCACGCAGAACCGAGAGAGGTGGAGAACTGGGAGAAGGCAGGGCGAGTCTTTATTATCTTGGGATCTTTGTAGGTAAGCTTAAGACATGCATATTCAGTAGTTACATACGTCACAAGGTGGGCAGTATCTACATGAAGGGTCCGTGAGCTCACAGGTGAGGAAACCTAATACAGTGAACCCTCGCCACTTCGCGCTTCGACTTCCGTGGCTTCACTCTATCACGGTTTTTGCGTAACAGCGCATGCTCTGTCATTACTGCCACTGATTGGCTCATACTGTACACACTTGATGCCGTAAATAATAAATAAAATAATAAATAATAATTGTAACGTCCAAAATGTTTTACTGTATTTTCCCTTTTTCGTTTAATAAATTGGGTAATACGAGTGTAATGGTGACTAAAGGGTGTTTTTTCATGTCCTCTATGCTCTAACTACGAAAATATTTGATTTACAAATAAGGAATCCTACTTCGCGGAATTTCATTTATCACGGTAGGGTCTAGAACCGATTAACCGCGATAAACGAGGGTTCACTGTACCTGCATTGGGGAAGGTGTAAGGGGGTTGGGAGTCATGGCTGGAAGAGAGAGCAAAAGGATCATGTCTGCTTCTATAGGAGATATAACCAACCATGTACTCGCTTTAAGGCAGCATAGCTGTTAAGGGGAGATTCTGTGGGGATGATTTTTAGAGCAGGATAATATACCTGGACCTTACCTCTAACTTTCCAAAGTGGAGGCATTCCTACTGTGGAATACCAGCTTTCCAGATTCGCTCTAAGTTAGGGACTATAGTCCTCATCCTATCTCCCTTAGTGTTAGTTTTCCTACATTTCACAATAGCTCTTTTTGTTGGGCATTTTCTTATGTGCCATTGCATAGAAAAATGTTTCATCGTCAAGTCAATTCGGACTCACAGTGACCCGTAGAACAGCGTGGAGCTGACTGACCCTTATAGGGCTCCCAAGTTCGTCATCTTTATGGAAGCAGATCACTGGTCATTTTCTTGTGGAGCGACCAGTTGGTTCAAACTACGGACCTTCAGATTATCATCTGAGTGCTTAACCCAGCACCACCAGGGTCCCTTCTATTAGATAGATAGATGTATATATACATTAATCCCAAAGATTAAGGAATATATATGTATGTGTGTTATCGTACAAATATATATGTTTTTTCATATAGCTACCATAATTGACTTTACAATGCTCTCTATCTGATATCGAGGCTATTCACATCCCTCAACTTGGTCAGAAGACATTCATCAGAGGCTAATCTGTATGTGGAGCCTGCAAATGGATTTTGGGCTTCCACTGTTGTCATAGCTTCTGCAAACCAAGTGCTCACAATTTAAGTTCTGATATCGCTCCTTCCTTCAGATTTGGATTCTATTATTTCTAGTACTTGGATCACACGAGTTGGTGTGCTTCTTCCACGTGGACTTAGTTGAGGCTTCTCTTAGATGACCATTTGTTTGAAGACAAATCTTCAAAGTGTATTCTTTCTGATAGCCAGACACCATCTAGTCTCTTCACCCCGCTTTGTTATAGCCCTCATCTCTTCATGAGGGTGAGCATCAAGCAGGGCCATGTTATAAGAACTAATTGTTCTTAGATTGGGGCTGGAGTTAAGAGGCAAGTCCAAAATCCATCCACATATCTATGGTTTATGTATGTGTTTGGTTCGACTTAGAGCCATCATTGTCATTTCATTTTAGAGAACATTATGAATCATCTCCCAGAAGCATAAGGTAATTTTATTGATAATGTCATTCATTTAGCCAATGGTATAGAATTTAACTCAGCTGAGAAAAGGGAAATTATGTAAATATAGGCTGGCTATGAATTATTGACTTGTACAGATGAAACTCTTAAATCATTGGAAAATATTTAAACAAACCATGGGGGCTGATGACAAGACAAAACTCAATAATAGTCACTGATATTGGCAGAACCACATGTCCCAGATTAATACATGTCATCATAAAGCAAGAAGGGCATTAAAATCGTACATAAAGTGTAGTTCCAGCCCATTCATTGGGCACCATGAGGAAAAATTTGCTGCAAGTAAATTTTTACATATTTGCAGCAGCATATCAACAGAGAACTACCAGAAATGTAAGCTGGATTCAGAAGAAAATGTAGAAGGAAAGATATCATTGCTGATGATGACAAATGGATCTTGGCTGAAATCAGAGAATATCAGAAAGATGTTTTTTGGTGTTTTATTGACTATGCGATGGCATTTGACTGTGTGGATCATAGCACCTTAGGGATAACAATGCAAAGAATGGGAATTCTGAAACATTTCATTATGCTTGTATGGAACCTAGAGGCAGTTCAAACAGAACCAGAGGATACTGTGTGGTTTAAATTCAGGAAAAGTCCTGATACCAAGGGCTCAAGTAGAAAGCAAAGGTTTTGAGAATGATGAGGGCAACAAATGTACAAACGTGCTCGACACCATGGATGTAAGTATGGATTGTGATAAGAGTTGTACGAGCCCCCAATAAAATGATTTTTTAAAATTCAGGAAAGGTGTGTGTCAGAGTTGCCTCCTTTCACCATCCTTATTCACGCTATACATGGAGCAAATAATCCCAGAAGATGGGCGAACTCTACCATGAAGAACGGGGCATTGTGACTGGAGGGACAATTCTTAACAACCTGTGATTTACAGGTGACACAACCTTGTTTGCTGAAAGCAAAGGAGACTTGGAGCACTCACCAAGGGAGATGGAAGACGACAGCCTCCAGTCAGGATTATCCCTCAATGTAAACAAAATAAAAATCTTCACACCTGAACCGGTAGACCTCGGGGAAAAAAGACTGAAGTTGTCAAGGAGTTCACTTTCCCCGGAGCCACACTCAACACTCAAGGGAAGCAAAAGTCGAGAAATCAAGAGACATGTTACTTTGGGCAAATCTGTTGCAAAAGACCCCTTTAAAGAGCAAAACTGTCACTTTGAGGACTAAGGTGCATTTGACGCAGGGCATGGAACTGTCCGTCATCTCGTATGCATGGGATGTAGGACCGTGAATAAATTCCGAAGAATCATTGATTCCTTTAAATTGTGCTAATATCAAAGAATAGGATGTATACCAGGGACTGCTAAGGGAGCTCTGTTGTGGCCGTGGATTGTGCGTTCAGTGGCTCACCGAAAGCTAAGCAGTGCAACCCCACCAGTCACTCTGAGAGGGAAAGACAAGGCTGTCTGTCCTCATAAAGATGCACGGTCTCCGAAATTCTATGTAATCTGTCCTACGGGGTTGCAATGAGCTGCGATCCACTCAGGGACAGTACGTAGGTCAGTCTCTAGATCTAACAAACCTGTCTTGGAAGAAGAGTGGGAAACCGAGGACCGGGAAGAGAGTGTAGGCAGACAAATTCTTTATTCTCATTTTTTTAAAAACACACTTTTATTGGGGGCTATAACATCGCTTATCACAATCCAAAAAGTCCTCCAATGTGTTTTATGCTCATATTTTAAGAATCCTGGCAGAGCAGGATTCTGGGTGGAGGGAGGCCTTTGCACATGCGAGCTAGAGTTGAGTCCCAATCACAT